GCCGGAGACAGCGACAGTGAGGCGACGCAGGAGTTGCCTGGTGCGGTTCTGCAGCGTGCGGCAGACGACTTCTGCAAAGCAGAACAAGAAGCACGGCCTGCAAACACTGCAGAGGCTTCCTCCCCCGCAAGAGGTTTTGAAGCACAGCCAAAGCGAACGCTGCCTTCCCCTGCGCTCCCAGCAGATCCGGCTGTCAGCCAGGCAAGCGCGAAAACAGAGTCGGCTGACAGCCCGTTAGGAGTTTCGGAGAAATCTGAGACTGACAGTCTGCTGGAGGACCGGCGTGGAGAAGCGCTCCTTCGGATTACGGCTGCGGCTACGGCTACGGCCGAGGCGGCAAAGCTGCCAAGGGCGCCAGACCAGCCACAAAGCAAAGAAGAGGCTCAGAGTGAAGACAACTTCGGTTGCTCTGTGCAGCGGCCACAGGCCAACCAAGCAGGTTCAGAAACTGTCGAGAAAGATTCGGCTGCCAGTCAGGGCGGGCCGCTGCAGGAAGACGAAAAGCTGCAGCCACAGCATTCGGCGGGTGAGAACCCAAGCCAGCCAAGCATGGGTGCTGTGAACCGAGACCTGGTGCGAGAAGAGCCCCTGTCGACAGAGCTGCCGGCCGACAACACCGCCCTTGGCGCAAGTGCCAAAGTGGATCCGGCTGCCAGCCAGGAGCCTGCAACCGAAACTCCGGCACCGGCTGCCAGCCTGACGGAGCAAGAGAAGAAAAACCGGTTCTACGACGACCCTGCCACTGAACTTGTGTTTCGCCTTTCGAAGCAGTTAAAGACAGTTGAGAGCGATGTTGAGGCGGACCGTGTCTTCCAGCAGGCGAAGGCGGCTTGTGAACAGCATCCGCTGTTCAGGCAATGGGTCAGGGAGGTGCACGAGGAAGTCAACTGCGAGGACGGGCTTGAGGAAGAGGAGCGCTGGGTCGTTTGGGAACAGGAGCCTGACGAAGACTTGTTGTGTTTCCGCTGCTTTTTGAAAAGGCAGGCTGGCCTCCCGGAGTGCTCGTCAGACGGCGAGGTCAGCGTGACGAGTGAGCAGGAAGCTTCGGTTGAGCAGCTTTTGCGTGCCGTGGACACTGTCGACAGCAGTAGCGATGAGGCCGAGGCGGCTGAGGTTTCCCAGTTTAGGAGAAACAAGAAGCGCACGCCCCCAAAGCAAACCGCTCCACCCTCCCCTGCTGATAGCTGGGAGCAAAGTGACAAAGAAGTGCTCAGCCCTTGCCTGGAGAAGTTGCACGAGCCGGAAGGTTTCAAGAGGTCTGTCATGTGGCAGTACCTGCAGCAGGCGTGGTCCAAGCTAACCGTCGGGCAGAAACGCAGGGTTGAGCACAACGTGAGATCGCGACAAAGGCTGCCCAAAGGTTTGAGGACACGAAAGAGGATGAGGACAAGAACAGTTTTCTGCTCAAGTGGAGCAAGCTCAAGACCTTGCAGCAGACGGGGGAGCAGACTTCAGAGCTGATTCCGGCTGTCAGCCAGCAGATTGAGGAGCTTCTTGTCGCCGTCCGCATTCCTGAGATTGGACCTTCTTTGCATGTCGCAGCTATGGAGAAGTTCTCGGCAAAGTTGGCACTGTTGCTGCTCGAAGCTTGCAAGGATTGCAAAGACTCGGCTGCAGTTGCAGCAGCTGCAGCAGCTGTGATGGATGCTCAGCATGAAACAATGCAATCGTGTGCTCTGTGTGACACACCTTCGTTTGCACGTTCCTGTGTTGAGTTTGCGTGCTCTGAGATGGTGCCAGTCATGCAGACCGCATTTCTGCTCACGGACACAGACCTTTCGGCTGACAGCCAGAGTGTGACCGACTTCCTGCACAGTCACCTGCGCGCTGTGTGCGACTTGGAGCAAAACAAACAACGGGTCATGCAGGTTCTGGAGACACCGGACGCTGAAAGCTTCCTCGAGCGAGCTGCTACTTTGCAGAAGAAAGTCGCCCCTGTGCTCGCGTCGAAGCTGCAGACGTTGCGGGCCGAAGTGGACAAAACGCTCACGGTGCTCCAAGAGCAGCTGGTGCCTTCGTCGGTCACGAACGAAGACTTCCTGAGACAGTCCCTGTCCGGCGATGCACTGAAAAAGTTGCTGAAGCGTGTGTCAAGGCCGAGAAGAATCTCGCAAAAGCAAGCGCCATAGAGGAGGATATGGCCACGCGACTTGCAACAACCAAAAGTGCTGCCCGTGCCCAGATCACGACGTGGGGCGTTCT